CACTACAACGACCTTTTGATGAACCATTTGTCGCACAAAGGACTGCCTGTGTGTGGTTGCACTGAGGACATATGTTTGAGCGAGCCTAGTTTTCAGAAATCGGGTGTACCAAAAGTATGGTACGATAGCGACTGCTTGTGTGGGGTAATTAAGACAGGAAGCCGAGTTCTGGGTCCAGGCGCGTGCTAGAGACGAACAGATCGACTTAGAGAGCACCACAGACCCGAGTGGTGGTTTAGCGATGTTAACAACCTCATGATAACCTCATATGTTTTAACTTAGGATCATACCTGTGTTTAGTCTAGAAAAAGGTAAATGTGTGCATTTTATTATAAAGTTGTGTATTTACAGACTGTTGCAAAAACTAAGAAGCTTATAAACATCAGGTTTAAAACTAAAAGAGCTTTACAAAAAAATAACACAATGAAATATGTTTGGAGCTTTATTTGAGTTATTAATTTACATTTTTTGTCTAAGATATGCTGATTTGAAACCGTTGTTACATACATACGGCATTTCCTGTTTCTGCCGGAGAGAGGGGAGTCCGTCCCAAAGCTTGCCGCTGTATTTACTCCCTCCATCTGACAGGAGGGAGCCTCGTTGAGCTGCGAGCGTGGCTACAGACGGAGTTCACTCCGTCACGGAGGGGTAGGGTTGAGGGAATGGTTTGGGATTGGGCCTTTCACTCTGCTTGGAAACTGCTCTGCTCTCATGTCAGGAAGCATCAGATCAGTGCATGCGCTGCATCGTCCAATCAGTGAGCGATACACAGTAAGGGGGCGGGGCGAGTGGCTGAGGATTTCACCGGAGGATGGTCCGGTGGTTCCTCGAATATCGCTCCTCCGTTATCGCTCCTCCATCCTCGATCCTCGGTCCTGCGGCACAAATAAGCGCCATGGAACATTCCTTAAGATGGCGCAGAAAAATCAACTTTCAGTAAGACTGAGGACCAAGGAGCTAGGAAAGGACAAATAAGTAGGCTAACTTGAGATCCTCTTGCGTTTCTCCATGCATCCCTGGTGGGAGGGACTACGCAAGGAAAAGACGCGAGTGAGGGAAGCAGGGATGGAATCATCATTTTATCATGGGATCATGTAGCTATAGTCTACTAGTCTTGCCGATGTTGAGCTGTGTAGGTGATTGTTGTCCCACCACGAAGCTCATGTTGACATTGAGTGTGAGTTAGATCTATGCTATGTGATGCTGAGTTCTATGTCTGCTCTTGTTGTTCCCCTCAGGCAGTGACAAAGATACCTGTGCAGAGATGTCCTGCGGTCACGCCGTCACCCCACAGACCCTCACTGAGGAATGTCAACGCCAACTGGACAAGGTACACTTTGGAACATTTCTAACTGTCTCTCAGAAGAATTACCTTTTTTCGATCTTAAAGGATTTATAGATTTCATAAAATACAATGTTTAATTATTGGCACATAAATTATTTTTAAATTAGTAATGTCATCTGTACTTATCTTTCTATGCATATATCTATTTTTATAGTTAAAATACCTATACTTTCCCTTTTGTAGTTGAAGTAAAAATATGTATTATTCTTAATCAAATGTCCTACGTTTCCATTTAAGGGATGCTCAACTCTCTCTTGTCAACTCAATGTTATTCACATAATCCACTGGCAATGTAACATAATGGGTCCTTTTTTCATTTCAGAACCAGTTCAAATTTAAGTGCCCCGCTTTAAATGCCAAAGATATCAAGTGTGATAAAGAGTGGTCTTATCAACACGTGCGCAAGATGGCACTGCTGACAGCTAAAGAGAAGCAGTACTTTGAAGAGAAAATCATCCGTCTGGCTGCCAAACAATACTGTGAATTTAAAGCCGTGAGTGTCTTAGTGCTTCCTTTTTCTTTGAAAAATACAAACCTGTTTGGTTATGAGTAAAGCAAGATTCTTTGTTTCTAAAACATCCATAAAATGTGCAGATAACAGATTTAACTCCAGGGAATAGTTTAGGAAATATGCCTATTTGCTTTATTGAAGAGGGTTAGAGGAAAATGTTGATACCACGTTTGTCCTTGGTTCAGCAAAGGAATCAAAATTAGACGCAGAGCCACATATTGCTTTTCAGTTCTGACAATTACACATCTACAGATTAAATGTCTTGCTCCTTCAAAGTACAGCTTCTGAATTCTAACTAAAACAATCTCCAAGTAAGAGAGTGTAATCAAGCTTGTCATCCATCTATATCTTAGAGAAAGACAACTGGCTTATTTATAAAAAGAAAAATAATGTTTCTCAAATCCTTTCCAACAGTGTACTGGGTGTCAGACCTATGTGGAGAGAACGGACCTGACTAATCTCAGCGTGATGTGCACAATCTGCACAACAAGAAAGAATTATGTTTACGAGTTCTGCTGGCAGTGTCTGAAGGAGTGGAAAGGAAGACGTCCACGCTCGGACCGCTGTGACAACGATGGCTGCACCAACGCAGAACTCAATCTCCTGAAGAATTGCAAGATCACCGCCCTCCGAGATGTGCAAGGGGCCACTGCGTGTCCCTCCATTCGGGCCTGTCCCACCTGTGGTCAGAGTGTGGAGCATGATACAACGGGCTGTAAGAACATCACCTGTGTTCGCTGTCAGGTGGAGTTCTGCTTTGTGTGTCTGAAAAAAACCTCTCACTATGAGGCCTGCAGTGTGGCTCCCAGACAAACCTCCATTCCTGAGTGGCACCGAAAATAAAAGGGAATCTGCACAATACTCCAAAACAATTCTTACTGTCTTCTTTTGTCCTTTGTACTTTACTCCTGGATTACATTGTTCGATTATATTTGTAACTAAAGCCCAAGGTGTAGAATTAAAGGCTTCTCTGTTCATGTATATTGTGGGATATCTATGACTTTTCTCAATATTTGATTGAATGTACTATTTGTAATGATTCCACTGAAGGCTGCTACCTTACAATGGATTGTGTCTGATAATAGTTCATGATTAATAACTGCATCAATAAATAAAGTTTCCCCGAGTGCATATATGTGAATACTCTTCCTGTGCTGTATTTTGGCCGGGGTTTAAACCCCTTATATTAATATTTATCCACAAACAAATAGCTAATTGATATTTTAAATAATGTAATGTAGCGTAGCTGAAGATAAGTTAATTTAGCTCCCTTAATGTTAGTATAGAAGTGTAAAAAGGTGTCCACCTGTATCACCCTTCATTCAACAGTCAGGAGGAGCTGTGGTGCCCCCTAGAGGTCAACCTGAAAATAACACACAGATTGCTAAACCTGGTAAAGTTGTTTAATATCCATCAAAGGCACAGCATCGACATGAATTTCATATATTAAACATGTAAGGATTAAAACAATTGTCTTTGTTGAACTACATACATAACGACACTTTTATTAAAAAAAAACATACTTTTCCCAGAATTCATGGCAAATTGCTGAGGATGAGATAGTCAGAAACTGTACAGCTTGGTGTAAAACACAGTAGATGACAAGCTGGAGTTAAGGAAGTAAAGCAAATTAAGGCACTTTTTAGCGTCAACACTCTAGATTCCCTCATCTCCTCTCATGTCGTTATCCACATTTTAAGAAAAGCGTGATCTAAATAATATACAGTATAAATTACATATTATTTAGATCACGCTTTTATCTAAAGCAACTTTAGATAAGGCATGTCAATGGGGATGAATTTGGTGTTAAGTGTCTTGCCCAAGGACATTTCCACATGTTGTTAGTCTTGTCAATCTTCTCGACTTAACACAGACAATAACTTAAATCTTAACTATAGGTTCTTCATCTCTGTTGATGGAAACAGCCCCTGCTGTGTCATCATTTGTTTCTGCTGACTCATAAACCTCCTCTGTCTTCTTTAAAACATGTTGACTCTGCTCGATCTATATAGAGGAATGTCGAAAGTCATTTTCAAATACAGCTAAAGTAAAGCTTGAATTTAATACAAGCGCTGATTTTATGTAACTGTTATACAGTATAGAGAGGAGGGCTTTGCAGAATTCATGTATGTGTCTGTTTGTGGCTAGATATTTGGAGATAGACAATGATATGTGTGTATTATATTCCTTTTTAATTGTGTTTATCCATCAGTGAGCAGCCCAATGCTCCTAACACTAGAATGGGTCAAATGCAGAATGTAAATGTCCCCTCTGTGGGATGATTAAGGGTTCCTTCTTCTTCTTTAAATCTGGTCCTGGGTCTAACAGGTAGAGAGTGGAGAGCCTCCAGGAGTAAACTCCTCTCTGAGGTATCCCTGAGTACCTGCAGCAGACACTGGAAGAAAAGTGCAAATTAGTTTAGGTAAGAAATGTGAACAGTGCACATCAGTGAGCATAATGAACATGTTTGCCATCTTACCTTTCTTTTTTCTGTAAAACAGAAGAGAAGCGCTGCTGGATCTAGAGAGAGAGGAATGTGGACCCTGTGACCCATCTATCATTGAAGCTGTACCAGCTCCCATCATCCTCAGATTTGATTGTGGCAATGTAATGTCCACTTCTGAGGTCTCCAGAATGTTCCACCATCGCATACAGTTCCTAGGGCTGATTCTGATCACCAGTGGAAAACGTATCACATCAGGAATACAAAATATATGTGTCACAAAATATTTAAATATAGTGTAAACATACCTCTGGTATCTGTAGGGTGAAGGGAACGTCCACAGTGCAGTTGACCTTTACATAGCTATTGGAATAGTGGTCAAACTCAAACCTCTTCAGCAGCAGTGTCAAAACCTCCGGATGATGCTTTATTACACATTTCTGGAAGAAAACAAACAGGTCCCCAGCATGTATTATCATGTTGCTATAACCCAGTGTAATGTAATGTGAGTTCATGTAGACATTACTCACAGTAGTGGCATCAGACTTGGCTCTACACCCGTCGCAGTACATCTGGTTTTCTCCGTTTGAATGTGAAGCTCTGAAAAACTCCTCAATGCCTTTCTCCTAATAACAAGCAATCGTGTCATTTGTGTCTGAAACCAGCTCTGTGACAGAATTCCTTATCAGCTTAATGGGTTTACAGTTTTTGATATATCACAAAACAATCTGATGGAAAATATCATATTAAGTTCATTCCTGGCAATAGAAAAGTGCTTTAAAGTTTGCAGGTTGTCCGATCCTTACCACACAAAAGATCTGAAGGTAGGATTCCTCCAATACAAGAGGGAGATGCCAAAAAGCCCTATCAGCGCCAGTCTTGGTACCACAGGATGAACATCTGGTCATGTGTGTCAGCTGTCCGTGGAATATCTGGAAGCCCAAAATGCAGACACTGCTAAACAAATATCTTTCATTAGACACACTCCCTTTAACATGAATGATCTTTACCTTTGATGCGTCATCACTGGTCAGACGCAAGATCTTCTCATAGTACTCAGCAGCATCCTGCTGTCTACTCACTAAGTAGGGAAGAGCAGAAAGCAGTGTGTATTTCTTTTTGACAAAAATAAGGGGTTAAAGGACCATATATAGACTGATGTTCTCTCTCAGCGGAGCTTATTCTTTTAGCAGACTGCCATGTAAATCTTAACTGATCACATTTCCCAAATTGTGTGTTTGGTTCAAAGGTGGCTTCTTCAAAGGCTCTGTGTCTCTACTACACTGTACCGTCTTTGATGCCCAGCTTCTTGGTGATGTCATTGGTTTTCGCTGTACGACTTTTTAAGTCACCAAACAGGGATTGAAGTTGAAGATCAATATGCTTAGTATTTTCACTGGGGAGCCTGCACAAAGTTAAGAAATATCAGTGAAGAGATACAAAAGTGAATGTGTAATCTCAATACTGTTTAAAAGCATGAAGTTGACTTTGTAACAAACCTTTCCACAGCTTCTCTGAAGTCTTTGGTCATAAAAAGCACCTGCAGCACACTGTTCAGGTAACATGTTGACCCTTGGTTTTCCAAGCCATGGTACTTAATGGCTGTTGGAGGAAAATGTAAATCAGACTATGCGTGTAAATGGTAAGTCTATAAACAAACGGCACATAGCCTGTATCTTACCAGGAGGGAACCCCATGGTCAAGACACGCTCTAGAATGTCTCTAGGTATTCCTATTATTGCATTTCGTCTTCTATACATTAGAGATGTCAGGTGATAGCCGTGATTTGATAGACTTAACTCTGGCTTTGTCTTTAATCCCTGTTCCTTTATCTCTGTTGATGAAAGCAGTGGCTGCAGCGTCTTTGCCCTCTTCTGCTGTCCCCTCGTCCTCCTCTCTCTTTCTCCTCTCAGGGTAACATGTTGACCCTTGGTTTTCCAAGCCATGGTACTTAATGGCTGTTGGAGGAAAATGCAAATTACGCTATGAATGTAAATTCTATGTCTATAAACAAACGCCACATAATAAATCTGAACAGTGCACATCAGTGAGCATAATGAACATGTTTGCCATCTTACCTTTCTTTTTTCTGTAAAACAGAAGATAAGCGCTGCTGGATCTAGAGAGAGGAATGTGGAAGAAAAGTCAGGTCAATATCAAATTAAAAAGTAAGCGTATGCAAATGTATAGCTTGCGTTTTACACAGGGGCTTTCTGTTGTGCAAAAAACATTTTTATTTTAGGTTTCTTTTTTTTAGCAGATACTGAAAATACATATATGTATTAAAATATATAAAGGAGTGCATTGGTGCATGTCTGTATGGATAAATGTCTGACAGATTGGATTTGAGAATGGGAGAAAAAATCTGCAGTTATGATTAAGTTTTTTTCCGCATCAACCTGTGGCTATTCAACAAAAAACGTACTTCTCAACTTGATCTGACTGGAATGGCTGGGAGTGAAGCTGTTGATAAAAACAATAACCAAACATAANTTATATTCGTTGATAATGGATACTACACAATGGATCACATTTCCCAAATAGGTATCCTCTTTAAAGGCTCTGTGTGGTATCATACTGTACCATTGTTGATGCCCAGCTTCTTTGTGATCTTATGGGTGTATGCTGGATAACTTTTTAAGTCACCAAACAAGGATTTAAGTTGAAGATCAATATGCTCAGAGTCAGGATTATCACTGGTGTACCTGCACAAAGTTACAAAACAGTGGTGATGAGATACAAAGGTTCACTGAATACCCCCTCAATACTGTTGAAATGCATTTGATGGCATGAAGTTGACTTTGTAACAAACCCTTCCACAGCTTCTCTGAAGTCTTTGGTCATAAAAAGCACCTGCAGCACACTGTTCAGGTAACATGTTGACCCTTGGTTTTCCAAGCCATGGTACTTGATGGCTGTTGGAGGAAAATGCAAATTACGCTATGAATGTAAATTGTAAGTCTCTAAATAAACGGCACATAGCCTATATCTTACCAGGAGGGGACCACATCTTGGAGATAAACTGCCGACCGGATTTATATAAATCCATGTTGATTCGTTTTTGACGATCGTATCAGTCCACTCATACACTGCCAGCTGCAAATCATTTCACAATTAATTGTTGACAATGAATCAAACACACCAGTTTCATTGAGGAACACAAAGCAGAACATAATTAGCCTACCTTTAGACATTCCCGCAGACAAAATGTTCATCCCTCCGTTTATCATCGACGTGTCTCGAATATCACTTTCTCTTTCTATTTCTAATAAAAATGTCCTGCTGCATTCAGGGAGTGTCGGACAAATGTTATTTTGAGAACACACACGGTTCCTATGACTGGCAAGGAAATAAAATATAGTTGCCCTTGCCTTTAGTGATTTTATCTTAAGATAAATCATAAACCAATTTTCTTCTCTGTCTTCTCTCCTTGCTTTACAGGAGGACGTGAACGCAGTATATTCAGCTGCTGGTGGAGACGTTTCTTTTTGTAGACCATACATGCAGAGCTGAAAGATGTATCCATATGCTTTACTCGAGTAAAAGTATAGCTACTAATACATCATTGTCAAAATACTTCATTGCAAGTAAAAGTACTGCATTCAAAATCTTACAAAAGTAGTATCTGCTAAATGTACTTAAAGTGTAAAAAGTAAAATAATCATTGTGCAGAAACATGGCCCCAGATAATTATATTTATATATGTGACATATAGTATTGTTGCTTCAAGAAACATTTTTACTGTTGTAGACAAACAAAGTTCTGATTTACTTTTTGTAAAATTAGTTAGTTCACTAGTTTAATTTTTAGAGATGCATTTTGTTAAACCTCAAAATTGTACTTAAGTACAGTGAGTAAATGTACTTATTCTCACCTACATGGATGCATTTACAATATTCATATTCATTGTTGTGTATTACAAAACACCTATGAGCACACCCCATGTATAAAGTAATTATTTAATGTGTATTTAAATAAACTGATTACATGGGATAACTGCTAGACTGTGAGAGCCCTTGCAGGGACCCCTGGGGGACCCCATTGATGTGTCTTCACTCTACTTTAAAAGGCAATATCTGCACACAAGATATGAGGAAATAAAAGGAATTAGATATAACTTGTCTTTATTTGAACAGCAACAATCAGAACAATAAAAGGAGTAAGACAATAATATAGCACACACAGTAGAGCGTAAGCATGTGTAAACAGCAGCAGCAGGAGGAGGTGGAGGTCTCTGTCAAGCGGTCAGTCCTCCAGGAACCTTCACCACCATGTGGATGTGGGACTGGTTCTGGATTCCATATTCACTCAGCAGCCCGTCGTCCCCATCCAGCATCTTATCTGTGAAGATCAGCCGCAGAGCCCCCACTCCTGTACACACAAACACACACACACACAACACACACACACACACACACACACACACACACACACACACACACACACACACACACACTGTTAACATCAAATATACTTAAAGTACTCATTAGGAATAGAATAATATATATGACATGTTGTGATTATAATTATTAAAGTGTTATCAAAGCTGGTAAAGGTGCAGCTAGTTTTAATGACTTTGTATACTGCAGGGTAGCTTGTGAATTTACTCCAGGTGTAACTAAAGTCTGATTTAAGTGTTGATTATATTTCACATCATTAATCAGCAAGCAAGGACCAACATCTGGGAAGATGAATGGCAAATAAATGACACACGAGCTCTTGAATGGCTGGACAGAGGAATCACACCAACGGAAAGCCTCGCTAGTGGCCACGACCTTGGCTGGACAACCTGGAAGTCACTTAATAGACTGCGTGTGGAACAGGGGAGGTGCAAAGCACTGATGAAAGTGTGGAACTACACCACAGAAGACACATGCAGCTGTGGATCAGTGCAGACAATGTCCCACCTACTGGAATGTGCCAATGCCCCCCGGTGCAGTCCAGAAGACCTGGCAGAACCTACCCCATCAGCTGTGGCTTGTGCCCGATACTGGCAGAACTACATCTGAGATTGCTACGGACTCGAAGAAGAAGAGTTATAAGATTTCATTAATCAAAGATCTGTTAAATAACTAATAAAGGTACCAATACATGGCAGTGAGTTAGATGAGTACCTCTGAATTGTACTGGGGCGACTTTTTTTAAATACTCAAGTAAAGATAAAGCGCAAAAAGAGGGAGGGAATGTACTTATGTTACTTCCCTCCTGGCTCTTACCTGCACAGGTCTC